GGGCTGCTGCTCCAACCAGGCCACTCACGCCCGGCTGCAGCAGGGCCACCGCGGTAGCTGGCAAAGCCCTGGGCGGTTCCCGTCGGATAAGCCAGGAGGTTAACGCTGTATGGAAGGGGCTGGGGCAAGCTTGCCGATGGCTCGAAATTATGATGGGCTCCGCGAGACGTCCCCCACCACCTCGTGCCAGCACACGGCGTTGGGGGCGGCAGAGACGAGTGTATTTGGGGAAGAGAACATCAGACTGTTGTGCTCATGGAGTCCCCGGTCCTGCCAGACCTGAGCTCGGGTTAGTCACGAAACTGGCTTCTCTGTAATCTGTCCGCTTCACCAGTGAACGGTCCCCTCAGCTCCTGCCCCGGGTTTGGGCTCTGGCCCCAGGGGTGTTGTGACAGGGCTGCTGCACACCCTGGGGTCTCCTAGGCCCGGCTTCTCTCAGCTCTGGCTCGGCGGGTGAGCTGCCAATCTTTATTTTGGGAGAGAAGCGGCTCTGCTTCCTTTACCCACTCCTAGCATTTCCCAGAGCGGGGCGTGCACCCCCACCAGCGGACCGGGACGGGTTCAATCGGGGGAGGGGGGGCTCAGTTCACCCTGCCCAATTTTTTTATTTTATTTTTTTTAAAGTCCCTAGATGTTTGCCAAGAGAACTTTGAGCCGGTGCCTGGAAGTGCCTCCAGTTGCTGCCTGGGTTTGCAGAGAGCCTGAAACAATGGCTCTGAGGTGGAATTGCCCCCAATCAGCCCAGCAGTGCTAATTCAGAGGCCAGTAAGGATACTTTAAATGTCCTCATTCTTGCAGGCAGTGAAAGTGTTTGACGGGGGGGAGGAAAGATCCGTCAGGAGCCCCTGGCTGCCAGCCCTTCTCTGGGTTGGGTTGGAGGCTACACTGCTCCAGCCATTGCAAAGTTAGCAGCAGGAGTGTCCTAGAGAGGGGGAGGAGAGGGACGGGGGCATGGCGGGCTGGGACTGGACCTTTTGCTTATACTGCAGGAAAGCCTAGGTGTGAATTCTCCCACTTATTCTTAAGCCTCAAGTATCAGGAAGGCTGAGGGCCTGGCTCTGATGAATGGTTTGCTGGATGTGGATTTGGGAGCCCTTTTCTGGAGGGAGGGGGGAATCTTTGACCAGCCCCCCCCCCCTTTCTCCAAGTGTTTGATGGGTTTCTGAGGCAAAAGCAGCATTTTGAAATAGTCTGAATAAAACTTGTTCTCCCCTCCCTTGCGGGCGGCTCCCCGCAGCTGCAGGGGCTCAGGGGCAAACAGGTGGCGTGTTTAACACAACCTCTCCGCAAATCAGGAGCCCTTACAGGCTTCTCACCCCAAAAAGATGGGGGGGGGGTTGTCAAATACAAACTCCCTTCACCCCCCGTCTGTCCCCTTTCATGGGTGATGCAGTCTCTGGGAACCTGGTTCCTTCCCAGGGCCCTTCTATGACCGAATCTGTGTCCAAGATGTTGGAATTTGCTGGGAACTGACAGCAGGGAGAGGTCCGGACCTAATGATTGAAGGAGGTTCAAAAAGCTTCGGAATATCACACCTAAACCCCCCTGGAAATCACCCGGCTACCTTCTCAAGCAGCGGTTTCCTCGCTTTGCTGCGGTGTGAACTGGTTTGGGGGTTTTGTGTGCTCGGAAACTGACGGACCTGCTCTTACCAATCCAAATCTACCCGCAGTCACCGTGATGCGCGCACAGCCTGGGTGTAATTGGCCGTCAGCCAGGCCAGCGGGTCACCACGTGCCTTCCGTGGAGAGCTGCTGGCATTTTATGGTTACAAGGGGAACCAGTGTCCCCTATGGCTCCCCCTTCTTGCACCGCTCGTGGGCGTCCACGTTCTCCCCGTTTTGATCTCTGCTAATGATCCACCGGGGCCTGGCAGGGTGCCCCGGCGAGCAGGGGCAGCGGGTGCGTTTCCTTCCCATCTTCTAGCTCCAGAAGAAGACAGGCGAGGCCGAATCTAGCTTCAAGAGACCGGGCTCTGCTGCTGCCCTGTGACCCTGGGCACCTTGCTGATGCTCTCTGTGCCTCTGTTTCCCCTCCCACTCTGGGGCCTGGTTGCTGTATCTGGCAAGCGGCCTGGGGCAGGGGCGTGCTCAGGGGTAGGTACAGCACCTTGCACCTCTGATGGCTGTCGGGGCTTCTAGCCACTGTTGTGATGCTGTTCGGGGAGGGGGGGGGCATGCACCAGCAGCTTGTACCCCCATCCCACCCCCCCTTTGCTGTCTGCTCATGGGGCTGGGGGGCAGGGAGTGCTAATTGCCACGTGCCCCATGGCTGAATCCACCTCTTGTCTCATCCCAGGCTGTTGGCTCCTGGGTGTAGGGCCTGGCTTTGTTATGGGGGGTGGGGCAGTGCTTAATTTGTGCCCCGGCCCCTCTGGGCCCGGCAGCTCGGAGCCCCGGCCCCTCTGGGCCCGGCAGTTCATAGCCCGAGCCCCGGCCCCTCTGGACGTGCTGTATCAGTTATGGATGTAAAAAATCATCCTTGAGCCCTACCTGCTCTTTCATTACAAATTAA